ACCTATTCGACGCGAGAGAAGCACGCGCAGCGGAACTCACCGTTTCAGTTCCGCCTCCTGGACAGGCCCCAAACGACGAAGTTCGAGAAGACATGGCGCTGCGAGACCCCCAGCCCTGGAAAGCGAACGACGAGAAAACGGATGCGAATGCGGTCTATGTTTCGCCAGCAAGAAAGCGACGCACAGCCGCGCCATGAGATCGCACCGCGCACGTAGCCCCGCGGCCCTCACTACGTGCAACCACTGCATCAAGTGCTCCCAGACGTTCACGAGAGGAGGAACCGCGTGTAAACACTTGGCCAGGGGCGTGCTGAGTGGAAGCTGCACCCCCGACATCACACAGCACCGATGCGAAGCGACAACTCCTGGATCGATTTGCCCTTTCTGCAGCCATCCAGCATTGGGTCAGGGGACCTACTTTCAGCGCTTGAGGGCGCGCCTCCCGAGACAGATACTCCGACCGCGCGACAGAGATGGCTCGATGCGATCAGCGCCCGCAGTGGGCGCCAGCCGCGCCAGCGCCAGGATGCCCGCCGCGACCAGATCGCACCCGGCAGCCGAGGAGGGCGCAAGCGAGACGAGGCGCAGCGGGGGCGGCAGAAGGAGGGCAGCCAGCCATCGCGCAGGCGGTGGATCTCACAGCCAGGGCGGCCCTCACATCGGCGCGAGAACAAACAGAGCTCGCCTCCGCGGCGATCCAGTCGTAGGAGATCGACGCCAACGCCGAGGTGCCCAAGGTCGGGCCGGCAGCAGGGAAGGACTGCAACGACGCGGCCCAGTGCTTGCGCAGAGGGGCAGCCAGCGGGGAGAACGCGGGCGCCGCGTCGCTGGGCAGCTCGCGCGCGAAGATCAGGACAGATGCGCTAATCCACCTGGGCCGCGCGCACGAGGCAGGAGCCGAGCGAGGCCCACTCGAGAAGTAGAAGCGCGGATTGCGCTTTGAACGGCAGCGCGGAGACCGTGACATCGCCAGCGCCCGCGTTCCGCGCCAGGCGCAACACGGGGAAGGAGGGCGGCGACGGTGCGCAGGAGAAGCGCAGGCTCCAGTTCCAGATGCATCGCGCGCGCCATCAGCCGGAGGCGGCGGCAGTCAAGCAGCTCAAGACAAGGCGATCAGGAAGGTGGGGGCGGCGCCGCGCGGGGCCATCGAGAGGGCGCTCGGGGAACTCAACAACGGGGCGTGGGCAATGCGACAGAGAATGGCCGACCGGGCACCGATCAGTCTTGCGCGACATTAGCAGGTGCAGATTCCAACGGTGGCCGACAGGGCACACGTCAGTTTTGCGCGACGCCCGCTGGCGCGGCATCAGATAGCGGCCGACGGGGCGCGCGTCAGGTTTGCGCGGCATCAGCGGGCGCCCCGCAGCAGGGGCGCAAGGGCCGGGGAAGGGCCGCAGTGAGGGCGAGGCCGGAGGCCATGAGAGCGACCGCGAGCATTCCGCGCAGCTGCGCCCAGCTGACGCTGCCCCCGTCGCTGCGATTTTTTTTTTTTTTTTTTTTTTGCCAGCCGGCGAGCGATTCCGACAATTACTCAGGGGGGTGGGCTTCTTCCGCAGCCCGCCGAGGGCCCTTCCCTCTTCCAATTCCATGGGCCACGCTTCCCCGAGCGCGTCGTAGCGCGCCGCGCCCCCCCCCCCCCGCCCCCCCCCCCCCCCCCCCCCCCCTCACCCTTCCCCGAACCCAAGCGAAAGGCAAGGGCCGAGGAGGGCAAGGAAAAGTGCAGAGAGGGGAACGCGAGAGGGCACCCGCGAGCGCGGGCGCCACTCTGCCCGCGGGCCCTTGCGCGGCGGGGTCGGCGCGGGCAGGGCCCGGGCGCTCCGCGGCGCCAGCGCCCCCATTTCCAGAATGTGACCTCAGCTGGGCCGCGCTGCATTATTTGAAGGCTCATTGCGCTAGTCGTCGTCCAGTGGCCCCAGGCTGCTCCGAGAGTTCGGTCCATCGATCCTCCTCCCCCTCCTTCTGCTCCTCCTCCTCCTGGTCCTCCTCCTCCCCCCCTCCTCCTCCCCCCCCCTCCTCCTTTCCTCCTCCCGTTTCCTCCTCCACCCGCCTTCTCCACCTCCTCCTTCCTCCTCCCCCCCTCCCCATTACCCCTCCTCCTCCGCCCGCCCTCCCCCTTCCCCCCCTCCTCCTCCTCTCCTCCTCCTCCTCCTCCTCTCTTCCTCCTCCTCCTCCTCCTCCTCCTCCTCCTCCTCCCTCCCCCCCCTCCTCCTCCTCCTCCCCCCCCCCCATCCTCCTCCTTCTCCTCCTCCTCCTCCTGGGGAGGGCGGTAGGGGGGCGTCCGCGACGGCGGCGTGGCCGTCACCGACATCGGGGACGAGTGCCCGCGGAGGTGAGTTCCTCGCGGCGCGCGCCCATGAGTCGGCTGCGACCTCCGAGCACTGGCGGAGGGCGGTCAAGACTGCGGACCCGCGACTCGGGCTCGCGCCGATGGTGCTGCACCTCGAAGGAGGTTATCTGGTGGTCGCTGCGGCCTACAGGTTCCCCGGCCTCGGCGTGCAGGGCGGCGGCAGCAGGCGCCAACAGCAGGCGCTGCGCCGCCCTGGGCACGTTCTTGCAGTGCCTGGCAGATTCGCGGGTGGTTCTCTCTCGCCGACTGGAACCTGCTGGGCGCGGAGCCCGAGGCCGCGGGCCCCCCCGAAGGGGCCGGCGGGCGCGCGGTGCACTCCCGCTGCGCGGTCACGCGCTGCAAGGGGCGGGCAGCCCCATTGACGACGCGCTGGTGGCGCGCTCTCATGATCGACCTCCAGTCGGTCCTCCATGTCCCGTGGACGGCGCGCTGCCGTCCACAGTTGCAGATGCGGGGCTCGGGGCGCCAGTGGCGGCTGCGGCAGCTGGCGGCCCCGCTGCTCGCCCCCCCCCATCCGAGGCCGAAGAAGCAGGCTGGCCCGACCAGCGCGTCGTCGGTGAGAAGTGCGGCGCAGTTGCCCCGCCAACGCGCTCGGCTGCCCGCCGAGCTTCGGGAGGGCATCGACGAGCTGCAGGCCGCGGAGCAGGAGTGCCGGGGAGGCGAGCGAGCAGGATGCCGTTGGGCGCCCGCCGACGCCGCTGGTTGCGCACCTGCGAGCGCCGGGCAGGCCGTCGGCGACGCCGCCGAGCCCGTCGCGCGGCCTGGCGGGGATTTCCTTTCGAGGTCTATGGAAGCGGCGCCAAGGTTGCCCCAGTTCGCCAGCGCGCTGGAGGATGCGCTCATGGAAGATCCGGAGCACGGCGACGACTGGTTCGTCCGCGACGTCGGTGGAACTGCAGGCGCAGCTGGGTAGCCCTGCGGGGCCCACGTGGATGCCGGTGGGACCGCCGGGCTCGCATCCGCGGGCGCTGGAGGCGGCGCGAGCGGAGCGGGGGGCGCAGTTGGGCAGCTCCCGAGGACTGCGGGGCGAGCCGCCGGCGGGGCGGGCGAGTTCGCCGAGGCGCCCCAGGCCATTCTGCCACAGAGCGCCGATGCGTGGCAAAATGCTCGCGCCTCCGCTGGCGCTGACGAGAGCGCCTCTGGGGGCGCCGCCAGGGCCGCTGCGCGCGCTCCTGAGGGCGCTGGAGGCGACGTTGGCGGAGCTGGAGGCGCAGCTGGGCGACCCAGCAGGGTCGCTGGACGAGCCGCCAGCGTGGCCGGCGATGCAGCTCGTGGGCGGGCCGAACCCGAGCTCGAACCGCCTTCCACGGAGTTCTTCGCCCCGGAGGCGGGCTGGCTCGACGACGCGGCCAGCGCCGCCCCGCGCGGCGCCTATAGACGACGGAGGCGGTGGGGCGCCTCGCCGAGCACCAGCTGGTCGCGTTGGCCGGCGAAGGCGAGATGGAGGTCACCAGGAGCTACGCGAGTTGGGTTGCTCGCTTGGAGAAGGCCCTCCTCAGGGCCAGCGGCGTCGCTCGCTCCTCCGCGAGGTGGCCCAGCGCGGTGGCCGGGCCGACGGCTGCGGCGCCCGCTCGGACAAGGTGCGCGCGACGCTTGCGTGCGCGCGCGTCGCCGCGCGGTCGAGCGCTGGTGTTTTTGGGGCAGTCTACCGCGGCAGCTCGGACTGCCCAGGCGCGGGCGCAAGGCGGCCGCCCTGCAGGAGAAGCCCACGAGCAGGCTATTGACGCAGGTGGATCTTGTCACGCTGGAGGCCGCTGCCCACTTCAATCGGGCCGTCGCGGCAGAGCTGTCGGAGGCACAGGCCCTCCTGATCCGCGGCGCCGATGAGCGCCCGCTCGACGAGCTCGCGACCCTGCAGGAAAGAGCCGCTGGGTTCGCGGCCGCCAGCTGGGGCCGCGCCCTCTCGCGCCAGGGCGCGACTTCACTTCGCGGGCGCGGCGGATGTGGGCGATGGCGCCACGGGCCTTCGCCGCCGCGCGAAGGGCCCGCCGCCCTTCGCGCCCGGGGCAATCGCGCCCGGCGCCGCTGCGGCGGAGTCGCGGACCGCGATGGCGGAGAAGAGCGACCGTTGGGGGAGGCTGGACGGCGCCCTCGGACACGCGGCGGGAGCTGTCGGACCACGTAGCCGCCGCCATGGCGCGTGCCCGTCTAGACCCGATCGAGGCGCTCGCCATGGGCGGGCTCGTCTGGGGCCTGGAGGCCCAAGGGCCGCGCGAGGCCCGCGGGGTTGGCGGCCCCGGCTCCGACGACGCGGCTCGCCTGCCGCCGTCGGGCCAGCGGGGGCTGTTGAAATTGCCCCAGCCCCGCGAGCGGCGCGGCTGCTGGCCCAGGCAGCTGTCGAGCGCCATCGGCGCCGCGATCACCCAGGCTGTAAGCGGCGAGCGCCTCGCTGGCACTCTGCCGCTGCTGCCGAAGGCGCGGCCCCGCGCTCGAGCCTCGGTCGCGCCCGCTTCGCGCGCGGCGCTGCTGCGCGCGGCCTTGGGCGGGGCGGGCGCGGAGCTCCACGCGGCGTCGGCGACGCTCCTCGAGGGTTCGGAGACGCTCCGCGACTGCATCTCGCTCGTGAAGTTGGAGATTGCCGAGCGTCTCGACTATCCATGCAGCGTCGGTCGTCGGTCTAGCGGCGCAGATGTTCCTCGCCCCGCGCCCGCCGCGCGATCGGCGGCGCGGGGCCCGCGGCGACGCGATCGGCGGTGGCGGGCTCGGGCCGCGGAGCGAGCTCGGGCAAGCTGCATCTCCATCTCATCCTCGCCAGGGCGCGCGCCCCGTCGCCGAGGGCGGGGCTGCGGGGCTTCATCGGCGACGCGGTCTGCCGAGTTGAAGGCCCCCGCGCCGCGGCGCTGGAGGAGCTGCCAACTCTACGCGGGCGGTGCTCGAGCAGGGCCTCGACGAGCAGGGGCTGATCAGCTCGGGCAAAACCAAAGTCCCGCCACGGAGGGCGCCCTGCGCGCCGAAATCGCGGCGGCGCCCCGCAAGGCGGCGATCCCGCGCCAGCTGGCGCAGGAGGCGGCGGACCTCGGCGTCGACGCGGCGGCGGGGCGCAAGAGTCCGCCGCAAGTGGGGGGCCCGCCTGGCGGCTGGCAGGCGCCGTTTCCGCCGCGCCCTGCGGGCGCGCAAGCAGTCGGCGCTCGCCGAGGAGTCCCGAGGGCCGTGGGGCACGGGGGCCCAGCCGCAGTCAGTCCGCGGCCATCGGGTCTTCGGCCCGGCGCCCGGCGACGTCGCCGAGTTGCGGCGCCAGGCCGCCATCGGCGGCGTTGGACGCGGGCGCTGCCTCGCGCCCACGCCGGCGGCGACTGCGGGCCTGCGCGGCCCGCGCGCGGGCCTGGGGCGACAGGCGATGGATGCGCGGTGCGCGCCGCGGTTGACGGAGCCGTCCGTCCACGGTCGCGCGCAGCGAGCGCGGCCTTGCGTTCGTCGCGCATTTGAGCGGGCTGGCGGTCATCGTTGGCGGCGAGTGCGCGGCCCGATCGGCGCGGCGCAGGCGGCGCTGCTGGACTCGGTCCGGGGCCCCGTCTCGGCCGCGCGCCAGCATCGCCCGAAGGCGTCGGGCTGCGACGAGCGGGCGCTGCTTTGGCCAGCGACGAGCGCTGCGCCTCTCGCGCGTGGCGCGAGGCCTTGCTGGGCGACGTCGTCGCTGACCTTCGAGCGCAGCTTTGGGCCGCCGCGGCCTGTCGCGCAGACGGCGAGGGCTTGCGGGGCGGCGCCGATTTCTGGCAGATCTGCAACGAGCTCAGGAGCTTCGAACAGGATGGCGACCGGTCCGCCTGGGGGCCGACCCTGGCAGTGGTCTCGGGCACAGTGGCCGCCCTGAGCGATTGCATGCGCGGGCCTTGCGGGGGCCCGCCTGAATCTGGCAATGCGACGACGACGGCGAGGGCGACGATGCGTTTGCCAAGTCGGCCGCTCTGGCGTCGCGGGCGTTGGCCAGCTACCGCGCCGAGCCTTCCTCGCGGCTACGCGGCGCGCCGACCGCTTCACTCACCGCGCCGCAGTCTGATGAGGAGCGCGCGGCTCGTGCGAATCATGTGTCCGGAGCTCCCTTAGACTCCCGTCGCGACGAGGAGGGGGCGGCGACGGTCTTCGAGGGTGAGTCGGGGGGGGGGCTCTTCTGACCCGAGGCGCCGCCGATGCAGGGCGGCCATGGCCATGATGCAGCGCGGCCCCGGCGGCGAGCGGCAGGCCGCTGCGAGATTCGCCGAGGCGCTCGCCGGCCCGCGGCAGACAGGGCCGCCGAAGGGGGCGGCTGAGTTGGGTCGGGTGGTCGGGCGGTGTGCGAGGAGCCTCGCGCCGACGTGGGCCGGCGCGATCGCCGCCCCCGTTCGCCGCCGCGCGCAGAAGGCGCTCGAGCGGGCGACTGAAGCCGACGGCGAGATGGGAACACGTCCAGTTTGCGGCGGCAGGTGGCGCCGCGGCCACTGCAACGTGCTCGCGCCTGGCCGCCGCCCGCTGCGCGTCAGTGCCGCGCCTCGCGCGGGCCCGCCGCCAGCGAGCCGCTCGGCTGCAGCGGCCAGTGCGGGGGCGCGCCTCGCCCAGCACCTGTTTCTGCAGGTCGGGGCGGCGAGGTTCTCTTTGCGGTTCGCGCGCGCTCGCATTCTGGCCAGGAAATTGCTCGGCGTTCTGCTGGGCACGTGGTCGACGCGCCGCGGAGGGCCCCGGGCTCCGCGCGGAAAAGCTTTTTCCTCGGACGAGGAAGGGAGCAGAGAATTCGTTGCGAATTCGGCAGGATTTGCCTCCCCGGCACGAAGGTGTCCCACGGGATGTCCTTCGCGCGGCAGGGGCGCGAATTGGCGACGCCGCCAGCCGCTGGCCTAATCTCGTGCCCGACGGGGCCCGCGGCGCAGTTGCCGCTGGCGATGGGGCCTGTCGGGTGTAAGTTGCGAAACCTGCATCGGCGCGCGCGCGTGGCAGGGGCCCCAGCGCCTGCCAGGGGGCGCGCGCGCGTCGCCGGGCGCGTCGCGGCCCCTCGAGCATGGCCAGAAGGTCCCCGCGGGGCCCAAAGGTTCCCCCACCCCCTCGTCGTCCTCCTCCTCTGCCTCCTCCTTCTTCCCCCCTTCCTCTTCCTCTTCCTCTTCCTCCTCCTCCTCATCCTCCTCGTCCTGCCCCCCCCGTCCTCCTCCTCCCTCCTCTCCTCTCTTTCGGCCCGTCGGTCATTCTGGCGCCGCCATTCCCCTCTTCCGGGGCGCTTGCTTGTGAGGGGGCTGATCAAATTAGCGCGCCAGGTGGCTCCAGGGGCGGTCGCCCCGGGAGTCGCCGGCCGCTGGGGGGGGGGGGGGGGGTGCGCGGCAAGATGTCAGCTGTAGATGAAAAGGGGGGGGTCGCAAAGTCGAGGAAGGGAGATGCGGCGACGGCGCGTCGTCGGCGCGGCGGGGGGGGGCGTTGCGCGGCGCAAGCGGCGCGGGCGCGACGCGGCCGCTCACGGCGCAGGGTTTTCTCGGACCCCCCAGGCATTCTGGCTCGCGCCATGTCGGCTCATGTCGCGCGTGCGCCGAGGTGGTGCAGGGCCATGTTGAGGTTCGGGCGGGGCAGCGCGATCGCGCTGGCCCCGGGCCGCCCCTCCTCGTGAAAGCTCCCGTTGCAGCGCCTTCCCCTTCTTCTGCGCTCTTGCCTGCGCCCCCCGTCGCCCAGCCTGCCGCAGCGGGGTGGGGCGGGGGGGGGGGGCGTCGCGGCGAGCTGAGCCCGGGGGCCCGACGCGCTCGGAGTCCAGCGGAACACGCCGCCCAGCCAGCAGAAGCCCGGGCCCGCGTCGACCCCTCCGCAAGAGCGTCGCCAGTTGGAGTCGATTGCCAGTGCGCTCACATCACTGAACCAACTGATGATGCAGAATAGCCATGGCGTTGTTGATTTCGGTAAATCCGTGCGGGGCTGCCTTTTCCGCTGTGGTTAGCTGGCGAATCAGCTCGCGCTGATGG